TGTCACTGAAAATCTTGCAGATATCAGAAATATGTGTGGATCCAGGTGGGCTTAAATCACAACTTGCAGGCCAATTGAGATAGATAACAATTGTGATGAGTAGAAGATTTATTTCGGGGTGTTTCTGTTGAGTTGCTGATAACACTCCAGATGGCTTTTTCAAGCAAGATGGAAATCTCTAAAGATCTCTAAAGGCTGTCTGACAAATCATCCATTGATCTTTACATCTGATCTTCAATGCAAGCTGCTGTATGTAGATGATACAGTCTTCCTATTATTCAGTTAGAGCCTACTTCCTCTTTATGCAAGACTGGAGAATTTGCCTCAATATATTGGACAAATATATATTTTTATAACCCAGTATGGCTAAACACTCATGCCTATCTCCAGCCATCATACCAGCTGTCAGAAGATTCAACACCAATTTATCAATAAGATGTTTGTTTCCTTTTAAGACAAAGAATGTTGAAATAAGCATACAATTTCTTCCCCTCTTATTAATAGAATTCCTTATTTTTCCTCCTACAGCTAAGATAAAACTTTTCTTTTTTTTTCTTTCAATTCTTTTCATTTTCCAATATTACTTTCACCATCTTGAGAGATGGTCAAAAGAATATCACCAAAGCACAAATGGACGAACGAAAATAGGCTGTAGAGCTAAGAAGCAAAGTCTTGTTCATACTACACAACCGCATGCATAATAATAGTAATATTAATAGCCACACTATGGAAAGCTCATTCTGAAAATCGGAGTAACGACATCAGAAAGGGCTGGAGAGCATTTCTAGGTAACAGAGGAATAAATCAAAACATTCAGCATAAATGTTGTATTGACCCGTCTCTGAATCCATACAACGTGAAGGTGGACCCAAACCAACGATGCATTAGCAAGCAAAAGATTATGATGCCACCACAAAGGTCAAAAGGAGAACAATGTTCAAAACATCAAGCCAAAAAGGGAGTGGGAAAGTTAAAAAAAAAAAGAAAGAAAGCTTAAAGAAACACATCAGCCATTTTCCTAAAAGCGTTAACATGTTTAAAGGGAGAGTAGTAAAATTGGATGTGACAGTATTTGCCGTATAACTTATTTGTTTTTTGTTTTCATCATCTCTGGATCTCAGATGACTCCAATAATAATTCCACACACCTCTACAATTCATTTTTGTTTGTTTGTTTTTGCTTCTAGCTTTGTGTTCCTCTCGTATATTCTGTATTTGGTTTGGAAAAGTGCAGAATGAACCTGCGCGGGATGGAAAATAAATAATTCAATGAAGATTGCAAATGGCGTAAGGATACAGTCCCTTCCTGGAAAGAGGATTTTATGGCGCACCATTTCTCCCATAATGCATCCTACTGACCATATATCCACTAGAACGGCAGAGACAGGGAAATGAAGAGAGAAAAAGAGGAAGGGGGGGAGGAACAGGAAAAGTTAACTAAAACACTTTGGATCCTATAGGAGGGGGAAAAGAGGAGGTTGATCAAAGAAAGCACAATTTTATGTACCTTCCACCAAACATTTTTTTTAAAAATACAGATACACACACACACACAGAAAGAGAGAGAGAGAGACAAAATACCCACTCCATGCACAACTACAGGTAGTCCTTGACTTACAACAGTTCATTTAGTGACCGTTTAAAGTTACAACGGCACTGGAAAAAAGTGACTTGTGACCGTTTTTCACGCTTATGACCATTGCAAGCATTCCCATGGTCCAAATTTGGATGCTTGGCAACTAACTCATCTTTATGACGGTTGAAGTGTCCCAGGGTCCTTTGATCCCCCTTTGCAACCTTCCCATCAGCCAAGTCAATGGGGAAGCCAGATTCACTTAACAACCGTGTTACTGATTTAACCTCCGCAGCGATTCACTTAACAAATGCGGCAAGAAAGGTCATAAAATGGAACCAAATTCACTTAACAAGTGTGTGGCTCAGCAACATAAACTTTGGGCTCAATTGTGGTCGTAAGTTGAGGACTACCTGCATTTCATAAAAAGAAGCAACTTGGAGGTCCACCCAACCAGTAAATACCTACTTCATCAAACTTTTATTCCCCTTTATGGAAAGAACAGCAACTTTCATTTCAGAATCATTGACACTTGGTATTAATGCTCCATTTTCTTATAACATGAGCCACAGATAAAGATCTTATTTATTCAGTGATAAAATCTTATTATCCTTTTTCTGGGAATAAAGCCTTCTAAATTCATGAGGATTTATTCTGAACGTGGACAGCATGGCATGTGGTTCCAATCATTTCTAATTGACCCAACGCAGGGAAAGTCAAATTTTGTAATCTATTTCACCCAGGTCACTCCTTCTTACACAATACCAGGAAAGTTGACGTATTCTCGTGACACGTTCTTGTTTATTCTCCTGCACAAGGAAATTACCAAGTAAATGGATTTGGGACGTGGGGATGAGAAAAGCTAATCATTCCAAAAGAGCTACTTAATAGCATTTGGGAGGATTAAATAAAAACTGGGTCAATGGTTGCCGTGTGATGAAGATGTAGTAAAAAGGAATCTTTCATGAGCTTTTGATTCCTTCTATGTTTACTAATAGCCTTTATGCAGAGTCCCATTTCAAAGCCACGTTTGTAGGTTTCCAGCTACTACAATTTCTAAGTTAGACTGTTTTATATAGCTGGATGAGCAATACGGAGATGATATCATCAGTCCTTTTTTCAAGGTATCAGAGACTTGCTAATAATGGCTATAAATTATACAGCCAACAAGTTATATTGACCTTGTTACTTCTCAACTCTTTTTATTACCCTACTCTCAGAATGATGATTGTACAGGAATGAGCCACATTAGCTTACGTGTCCACGAAAGAGGAAAGAGTTGTTTCCATTGCAGTTGATGTGGTCCAGTGTTTTAAAGGGCTCAGCTAATCTCATAAGGTCACCCTATTAGACTACCCAGAGATTTTGTAAAAGTTGAGAGATGGGTTGGATGCTTTGTATTTTAACTGATGAATGGCTTTAAAAATGTTTGCAGTGGTTCTTTGATCACAACAAAGAAACCTAAAAGGACCCACAATGTAGATAATGAATGGACAGAGAGAGATTCATAGAAGATATAATATTTAGGTCTGCTTTTCAGGTTCATTGTATGAGTGGTAACTAATTATCAAGTGGTCCTTGGGAAGGAATAGAGACAGAAGGCCAATTGGTCAGTCACACACAAAATCAGCGATACTTTTAATCAGTAAGAAAACAAGAACTCCTCAAAATGTTCAGCTGAAGACTAAATCAAGAGATATTCCATAGTAGGCCACTTATTTAAGCTGAAATGACTAGTTATAAGACAAATACAGGAGCAACTTTTGCTATGGATGCTTTTTTTTAGGTAAAGTTATCATGAGAAGCAGAGTTTAATTAAGAGCCTGGTATTATTTCTAATATGTCTTTCTATTCTTCCCCCAGGTAATTTTTCATTAATATGGTAGCTGCTGCAACTTAGCCCCAAGTCCATAATTACAGAAGAAAATACAGGGGCCAAGCAGTTAGATAAGACTTAACAGACAAGGAAAGAATTGTTCATGATCCAGTTTAATGAAATTTAAGGGACATGTGAAATATGATGGAGTAATTTATTAATCTTTCTATCTCTGTTAGATATAAAGCCAAAATAATCTCTATATCAGTATACTTAGCAATGATAGGACTACATAGGGGAAATGTCTGATATACAGTAGTTTCCGCATTCCTCAAGAAAGATATGGTTTCTGAATGGACTTCTGGTTTGAGCTTCTTCGGTGACGGACTGAATCCACGATCGTGCACGGTTTCGATCTGTACTCACCACCGGAGCACCCTGAGCAAGCTGGATTCAGGGCTAAGCCATCCCATAAAGGTAGTGAAGAGGGGGGAGACCACCAGCAGGGTCGAGGAGAGCCTCATCTCTCCTCCTCAGCTGGCCATTACTCCCTTTCCCGAAGGCAATTGTAGCGGTGGTCAGAAATGGCCACCTCAAAGAAGAACTTGAGCGGAAAAGAATGTGCAGGAGGAAGATAAGAAGAGAAAGTTTTGGTTGACTGGGTTGAACTGAAAAAGCAACAATGTAAGGTACCCTGGAATTTGAACTATAAAAAATAACATTGTTCCCAAAGAAGACTTTGAAGCAGCGAAGGAGAGAGGGGAGGGAAAGGATTTTCCAACCATATTTAGCAATATGAACCCACCATGAAAAAGGGCTAACTTATTCTATCCAGTATCATCCAGTATGCCGAGTAATTATTTTCTAATGCTTTTTCAATCTATTTTCTTTTCCTTTCTGCTTCTTCTCTTTTTGTATCCTTGACAAGAAATAAATTGTTGTGGACTCAAGCTATTCTTTTTATTAACCAAACAAATGTTTCATTTAGGGGATAAGATGGACAGGTGTGAGAATGAAAGTCCAATATATTAGACTAGTACTTTAAAGGAAATAGTAATTTAGGAATCTTGGGAACAGGATAAGCAAACAAGGGTAAAATAAATTATCCACAAACTTGGACTGAGAGAAAAATGAAAGCATGGAATAGCCCTAAAAGGCAGATAGAATGATAGATGAACATTAATTTAAAATAACTGACTTTCCTTCTAGAAATTTAAGATGATTTCCTGATATTTTAAATCTAGAAGGAAAATTAAAAATAAAATCTGTTTCTCTTTTTTCTTACAATGCTTCTATTATATCTACAATGTTCCAGGAATTCAAATTAATTTCTCACATGACCATAGTCTATTGCCCCATTTATAGACATGTTCCTTTCTCACTTGATTTTCACCAAGCAGCAAAATTCCTGGATTCTTCATTGCACAATATCCTGGTCTAGGTTTGCCTATGTGAAATATATTAATTTTAGCTATCACAGGAATGACATAAAGAGCCTGATCATAGATTTCTTGAGGAAGTTCTAGGAGGTGTTTCTGTTCGGAGGGGTGTCTGTTCAGTAGAAAGGGAAGACCACATTAGCAACCTGAACATCATACTCATGCATTTTTGTAGTTTTTTATGATTGCCAATGATTACTTGGCCTTTTGTCTGATCCAGTGTAGATTTCTTATGTTCTTATGTACCCTATCCACAGAAACCTGTCTTAATAAGTCCTGTGCTTCGTTAGAACTTACATTCTAAATCAAAACCAACATTGAACTCACCTTTTTCTCAGTTGGCTGTTATAAAACTTCTGAATAAGAAGATTTCCAATGCATCTCACCCTTTATTACCTTTTTTTTTAAGATATCATTTAAAAATAAATAAATCTAAGTGAGTACTATTGATAACTAACAACTAGAATTTCTTTTAGGACAACTGACAGTTTGAAATAGCAAATACAAAGTGTATTTTAAAAGTAGCCTGCATTTTTATCCAATTTTATCCAATTTAATCAACGGAGAAATCAGGCTAAAAATCAGCTACTAAATGTCAGCTTGTAGACTGCAGTCAGGTATCAGTGAAAAGAACTGCAGCATGCTAATTGGATTCCCCCAACTTAAAAGGGAAGGCTTTCAAAAATGCAAAATTTCCTCATTACATTTAACACACACACAAGGTATTCTCATTTTAAAATTGTTTAGCATTGTTTAGCATTCATTAGCAATCTAATGAATGTGTTTCTGTAGTTTTCTTATTTGCAGCCTTGATCTATGTCATTTATGCAATCATGTCATAATAATGTATTACTAGCAGGGATTCTTTTTAAGCACACAAATGCTTGGTAGGATAAAAAAAATTGAGCACAACAAAATAACCACCTTCTCTTCTTAGCATGTCATTTGGGCTAGAAGAGGTTTCTCCCCAGCTCTATCCACCCCATTTAAAAAAAAAATAAACATAAAAATGGCACAGTTATGGTATAGTAGGGTACAATTTTAACATCACTATCTTCTCCACTCACCTAGGGACCTAAGTATAAGGACTACATTCAATATTTCATTTTTAATGTGGTAGCATCAAAATGGACCCATCCAAAGTCAATACTGCATTTTTATGATAATAGAGGATTTTAGCAGATTTTCTACAGCTGAGCTGAGAAACTTTCAATTCAAATATTGCTCCAGAAGGGTTGCCATAATGGCTTTGTTGTTGCTCTGACTTTAATAGGCCTTCCCTCTTTCTAGATTGGGATAGAGAACAATGGCCTTCTTATGACTTGAGGAGTTCAACTCCCAGAATTCCTGAGGCAGCCATGCTGGCTCACAGATTCTGGGAGTTGAAGTCCACAAGTCATCAAGGGACCATTGTTCTAGATCAGGGGTGTCAAACTCGCGTCATCACGGCATCGTCACATGCCAAATCGGGACTTTTTTCCCATTTGCTAAACTGGGCAGGGGCAGCATGTGACTCATCTGGCCAGCGGGCCACGAGTTTGACTTGCTCTACCAGAAAGGAATGGGGAGGAAAGGAGTCACAGATTTTTTTAAAAAAAAAAAACAAATATCTCAGCAAACCCATCATGTCCTTTGGAGTTAGTGTATTGTGTGAATCCATCAATTGTGTGTTATAAGTCATGCCATCTTTTTTTTTTACACTAAATCAATATAAATGCATTGTGGTTAGGCCTGAAGCCTCCATACCTCTGCTGAGTTTGGAAAACGTAGTTGAGGAGGGCCAATTTAGCGAAGGGAAGGATTAATAAGGACATGCTTTGAATCCAGTAAAGATTAGAAGGCTGGAAATGTGGCAGAGATGAACATGCTGCCTTTGGACTTTCCCTCTTACTGCCTGCAGAAATTTTGTGCCGTCACATTTTGTGACCTGGCTGCTGTTCCCTGAAGTCAAGGTGGTGGAAACTACAGCTTAATTCCCCTTTTGCTCCCATCCTTAATTCTTTCTTCAGTTTTCTTCTGCAACATTGAAAAATGGTTTTGTGGATAGTGAAACAAAGTTTTTTTTTTTTTAAATGAGGAGAATATTATCTCAAGATGCTTTGGTATTTTTTGCTAGGGGAAAAAAAGAAAAGAAAACCTAAAAATAGGAATTTCTGTCATCAGTAATGTGCCTATTTTAAAAATACTATACTCAAAAATAAATGCTGTAAAACTGAAAAAAAATCTTCAGGCTCAGCAGCTAACGGGAGAAGTTAACCATCTCAGTTGCTGAAGATCCCTTAACAGCATTATTGGCATGTTTGGACACAGCACTTATCTTAGATCAGAGAAGTCCTTGTATATAGAAGGGCTGTATATTTATCTAAATTAGCTCTTTATATCTCAGGTTGAGAGGCGTATTGTATAGCATTATAAAATTGATTTAGATAGCATCCAATGTTATTTTTTAATTGCCTGGTGACCTGCACCATACTCTTATCTTGACTAACTCTTCTTGTAGTAATTTAGCAGGGAATTCAATGGACATGTTATTTCTACTCTCAAAAATGACAAACAAGATGGCCAGTGGTTATGGCCTTTAATATAAGACCTAGACTTGCAAATTCTCCCCTACAGTCTGTTGAATCTGAATTGATGGTATTGCAATCCTTTACTTGTATAGCTAGTAAGTTTTTTTGTTTTCATGTTGGCCTCATCAAACGACATTTGCAGGATCAGATCCTTTCCAGATCTAATTTGCTCCTCCCTTCCCTCCCCTTACTTTTCTTTGTCCCATTTTACTCCATATTTATATGTCCTACCATTCTCCTTGTAGCCCATTCCCAGGATGACTTCTGGTGCTCTGTAATAGCGTGTGACCACATAGGGTGTCATCATGAAGCTAGTGCCTGCAGTCCTTGCCAGTCCAAAATCCAGGATCTTCAACGTACAGTCTGATTTTACCACAATATTACTTGGTTTTAAATCCTGTAAGATATGCAAGAAAGAGAGAAAGAAAGGGATAAGCTTTAGTCTCACACCCACAATATCATTGGGTTTTGTCTATTGTGGGAGAAGAGTGTGAAATGAAAGACCCAACAGGGCCTAAAGCTGACTGAAAATTATTCATTGATGAGCCAAGAAAGGTAACTGGTATTTCAGCAATGGCCAAAAGTTTGATGACCACACATGGACCTCATTTAATTGGGGGGGGGGGCAACTGAGAGCATCAAAAATGGGCCAGTGATGCAACAAAATGGTGGTATTTGTGTCTGTAGGAGATGACCGGGCTGAACCCAAGGGAGAGGTCAACACATCATTAGTCACAAGACCTAGAACACCCATAAGAAATCTAAGCTCACCTTGAATGCCTTTTATTCCCGCTCATTTTCCTTGACCATTAGTAGCTCAGATTTTTATAGAGTGCTTAAGCTTGCAATAAATCTTCATACCCATTGAAATTGCCTGAATCTCCTGATTTCCCTAGCATTTTGACAGTGTCACAACCCTTTAGTGGAACCAGGTAGAGAATAAGGAAGGTGACAGGGATGGAAATATGCAAGATCCATTACCTAGGCAAAAGGGACTGAAACACTTTTTAAGGTCTGAGAAATGAGACAACGGTTGGAAGCAAATTAGGTAGTTGCCTTCCAGACTCATTGGAGTGAAGGGGTTGAGGTATAGCCACAATGAGACTTGTGAGATTCTGTTACAGACAATCTCAAAAATATAGTTTTAGTCTTCCTCTGTGGAATTAATTTCTTGATATGGTCTCACCGACCAGGATTTTCAGTCTTATTGATTTTTAAGAGGATTGGGGGTGGGGGTGGGGGGGGTGCTTTCCTTTTTTCTTTCTAAAACAACAGGACTTGTACACTTGCTTTTGCAAGTTTTCTATCTTAAAAACCTTGCACCACAGCAAATGTAGTTAGAATAAATTTCAGGGATGCAAACAACAAATTTAGGGTACTATGTGGTCCCTCCCCTCTTGGGCTTTGAAATCTACACTGCTGCTCATTTCAGTGTTTCTGGCTATGGTAGAAGTACAATAAAAGCTTTGAGGTGGGCATGCCCACGAATAATAAAGAATGCACAAGGAATAATAAAGAATTCACAAATTCATAATTTTCTTCATTTCATTCTTGTGGGGAAATCGTTCTTACTTTCACAGAGAGAGGCCAGCTTACCCTGTGAATGATTCCTGCAGAGTGAAGGTGTTTGATACCACACAGCATCTGATAGAGCAGGTAAGACATTCGCTCGTGATCTAACTCCATTTGAATCACCTGGCACAAATTGGCATCCATCAACTCCATTACTAAATAACTAGACAGGAGAACAAAGTCACATCATCATTCCTTGGCTGAGATGCTTCCAATGTAGCACTCCTTTCTACAATCTCAACCTTTCACAAATACCTGATAAAACCGTCATTTTTTCTTCATATATTGCTTGACTTATGTTTGTTTGTTTGTATCCCACCTTTATTATTTTTTACAAATATATTCAAGGCACTGAATATATCTAACACATCTTCCTCCTCCTATTTCTATTATCCTCCTCACCACAACCCTGTGAGGTAAGTTGGGCTGAGAAAGAGTGACTGATCTAAAGTCATTCAGCTGGCTTTCGTGGCTGAGGTGGAACCAGAATTCACCATCTCCTGGTGACTGGCCCAAAGTCACCAAATCAGCTTTCATGACTGAAACAGGGCTGGAACTTCCCATCTCCAGCTATCTTTCATGACAAAGGTGGGACTTGAGCTCATGGTCTTCTGCTTTCTAGCCTGGTTTTTAACCACTAAATCAGGGATGTCAAACTTGCATTGTCACGTGACATATAGTGACTTTTTTCGCCTTCACAAAACTGTGTATGGGCAAGGCCAGTGCGTGATGCATCTGGGCCATGGACCACAAGTTTGACACTCCTGCACTAGACCAAACTGCCAAATATCCTCAAGTCAACAAATTATACTGTATTTTACATCATACCTTATAAAGAGTGGTTATGGCTTAACATAAAGCTTGAAAAACTGACAGTTTCTTTAATAAACAAATCAAGAGTTAGAACAATATGTGAGCCCAAATTCTGACTGGCAACATCTTTGTCACCTGCACTGTTTAAATAAATATATCTAGATACTGAATTTTGGCCTTATTTCTAATCCTAAATGTAATTTTTTAAACTACAATATTTATTGTAACAAGCCTAGAACTTTCCTTTTGCTTTGTTTAGATATACATGGAGTAAGTTCACACATCTCATTAAGTCTTTGATTTATTGCACTACTTATCTTTTTTTTAATATATAAACAAGTGTCTGAAATTTGGTAAATTTTAAAATAATTATGTGTTCAAAATATTTAGGAGAGGAATTGGTTGCCTTCTCTCATCATAAGATACAAAGTGAGGACAACAAATGAATTTATAGATTACTCAGATTTCATTCTGATCAGGATTTGATTATGTGCCAAGCAAGAGAAAATAATACTTGATAGAAATATTAATATTTTTTTTCCTGTCAACTAATTTTAGAGCCGTGGGTTATCATAAACTCTAATGAAATAAAGTGTTTCACTTGTCACTCTTCCTTTCTTTTAAAGTGAGATGACTTAAAGGTAAATTGCCAAATCTTCAAAATCCTGCATATCTTAGGAAATTCAGACAGAAGTCCCATCACAAAGCAATTAAATCAAATTCCTGGGAGCCATTGCCTATGTATGAATCTTGTATTCATTCTTCTTCCTCATTCCCTGTAGGTCATTTATACATTTGCTCAGCTCTTTCTATTAGGATTCTCAATGGCTGTTCTCTGGTTTCCTATTCCCACATCAAGCTGTAATTGATTTCTGAAATACCCAAAGTAATAGAAGGCTAGAATCTGCAAAACTCAGAAACTAAAAAAAAAAAAAAAAAAGATTACCTTGAGCAGTTTCTAAGAAAGAGCAGCTTTTTATATTTCGTTGTTCTTAGCTTTTAGTTTTCCCGCAAGATACCAAAGTGATTACTACCCCTCCCTTGCAGCAAAGTTTCTCTCTTGACTGCATTACTTACACATCCTGGAACTCCTCCAGAGATTTCTGTGGTGTAAAGACATTTAATAAACTGATAATCTGAAACGCAACAAGAGACAAAAGGGAGAGAAATGAATAATTAAATATTAATGGTTGATCAGGTTAACAACAACTGCCTCACTGTTTCCTATCTTATGGAGTTTAAAAGCAAAGGGAAAAAACTTTATACAAAATTCAATAATGTCTTCTTCCCAGCTAAGAGTTCTGTGGCTCCATTTTCAGCCGCAGTGGAAGAATAGGTAGAACCTGGAAATAAGGAAAAATTTTCTGACAGTGAGAAAAATCAACCCATGGAACAGCTTGCCTTCAGATGTTGTGGGAGCTTCATCACTGGAGGCTTTCAAGAAGAGATTGGACTGCCATTTGTCAGAAATGGTGTACGGTCTCCTACTTGGGCAGGGTGGACTAGATGACCTATATGGTCCCTTCCAACTCTGTTAATCTGTTAATCTGAATTTGCAAAACCATTAAGCATCTCTGAAATTTTAAACATGGATCAGAAGCTTAGAGGAAACAGAGAACCTTTTGAAGAATGGCAGCTTGCCTATTTTTAAAAAAGGGTCATTGCTAAAATATTGACTTTTACCGCAGTTACTAATTTAGCTGCCACTAAAGTGTAGCTATAGATAGGATTCTGCTTGCTAGTGCCACTTTTGAATTCCTGTGTTTAGTTAGATTGAAGGATGTGTCTAGCAAGATTGAAGGATATACCCAATAAATGTAAATTTAAAGCCTACATCTGCTGAGGTATATCTTTCAATTTTGCTGTCAGCCAAATGTGTTGTCAGAGAAATGTCTGAAAGTTAACATAAGCAGCTGATATTCAAGACAAAGGCTGCATGGTATGGATATGTGATAATTTGTTTCTTCCACTGTCAAGGTAAATCTGAGGATGAGGTTGATAAAGTGCCAATAGTAGGCTGTACAACTATAGAGTAAATTTGAGATTCGGGTATTTAAATGACACCACAAACTCAAACTAGAGAATTTGACAGCAGTTCAGAAAATAAAACCACACAGTTATGCTTATTTTATCTTTGTTCTTCTTCCTTAAGACTGCTAATTTTGATATCCTGATTATATATGTTCCTCCTTCTGTCCTGGTACTTAATTTCTATTTGAACTGGACAGATGTTTATTTGTGATTCTTTCAACTAATTGATTACAGGGCTTCTGATTTAGGCTTTGGGACTAAGAGTTTATGAGTCATTTTCTAAATAGGACACATTTATTTTCATTAAAACTGATCCCCTCTCTCCTTTGGGAGATATTTTTAATGTGGCCCTATGAAAATGGAATTTCTCTTCAATAATGTGTGAGCTTGCTATAATATTGTCATGTATTTGCTTAGATAGACATGTTGGTTATGTTTTGTTCTGTAGTTACTGGTAAGTACAACCCTGAAAGATGCTCATACATTTTTCATAGGCAATATTTTATCATAGGAGGACTGGAAGCCTATTAAAGAGCTCTGAAGAAAAAGCAAAAAAGCACTTAAAAGCTGAACAGTTTTGAAGAAAATTTTCTTGTTCTGAATGACGGATGAAGGAGGTATAAT